AATAGTATATAAATTAAAATTATCTTTTAATTCTTAAAGACCAACTAGGACTTATTAGGACTTTTACCAACCCTATCGGCAAATGATCGACATTGTGATATGATGGGAATTCCTTAATTATAATTCTTTAATATTTTGTCTGCAGAATTTCACTAATTTTTTAATCGTGACCGGTTCAACCAATCATCTATCTAGGCTTGATTTGCTTTTAATCAAGACTCTTTCTCACCAACTCGTTTCAAAAAATACGGAATCGCCATTTTCGACTGAATTGGAGAATAATAAATAAAAAAGTCGTTACGCTTTATTAACATGGATTCGAGTAAACGTCCACACTCACCTTACTCTTCACCACGTAACCCTCCTCGTCAGTCACCTTCACCTGGGCCAACTCAAGCTTCAATTTCCATGAAAGTAGGGAGGTGTTCGAGCGATACATTTGCCCTGACAAATTATCTATTCGTTAGCCCCAAAGATTTTTCCCCTAATGTTCGATATGTAATTATCGACGATCAATTCGTTTTTAGCATTAAGTAAGGAATTTCTTATTATTTTGTCAAAATGATACATTTTATAATTTTAAAATCCTCTTATACATAAATATATATATATATTAAGTCTTGTTATACTTTTCTAAAGATATTACGCGTTTATTCCGTAAAATAATATTACAACATATCTTTCTAGGTTAGATGATAATCAATCTCCTCGTCTAATAGGAACGACTATGATGCATCGACGATGGGCTTCTTTATCTTTGAATCAAGAAGTTTCAGTTGCACCATATGACCCTGCTTATGAAAGTCCATATCATTATTTAGGAAAAATTGAACTGGAAGTAGGATTTCATCGTAAGCATCAAGATAGTAAAGAACATTTTGATACGGATGAAATGTCAAGGATATTTTGTCAGGTTTTTATTTTAATTCAAAATAATAGTTATGTTTTTTAGGTTAAAAAAATATTTTTAATATTTGAATTCTATTGTTCTAGTCATTCAATGGTCAAATCTTTTCTAACGGCCAGGTGTGTAAATTTCTCATAAAGATTAGAATAGTTATTTCACAATTTTTAATGGGTTGATTCACTTATCTTAAATAATTTTCATAACATTACAATTATAGCACCTTATCTTTGATTTTCATGGTGTTAATCTGACGATTGTTATAAAGAATATACTTCACGTAATTGATTCTTCAGAATTACAAAGAAATTTTACAGGAGAAAATTTATCAAGTCAAGAAAGTAATAAACAAAATTAAAAATTTATTTATATTAAGTATTTAGTTTCTAAGTCTAAAATCTATTTTCATATAGTCCTACGCAGTGGAATGCGTGGTATTTTAACTCCACAAACAGGAATTCATTGGACGAAAGACGCAGACTCTTCAATTCGATTACAAGGTTCATCGAAAAGGTAGAAATTTAAATTATATATTTTATAATTTTAAATTTCTATGAGTGTAGGTTTTATATCAAAACTAGCTTTTGTATCTAAATCTATTTTTTTTTTTCATTTTAATCATTTCAGTACAGCTTCCAATGCTATTATTCAACCGGATTTCAAATTTGAAGATATGGGGATTGGTGGTTTAGATACTGAATTTAGCGCCATATTTAGACGTGCCTTTGCCTCGAGAATATTTCCTCCAAGTTTAGTGGAAAAGCTCGGAATACAACATGTTAAAGGTAGGAATAAAGTTATTATAATTGGATTTGATATTTTTGATTTATTCATAAGATTATTAATATAGTTTAAATCTTTTTTTTGAAGGTATTCTCCTTTATGGACCACCCGGTACGGGTAAAACGTTAATGGCACGGCAAATCGGCAAAATGCTTAACGCCCGTGAACCTAAGATTGTTAACGGTCCTGAAATTTTAAATAAATATGTTGGTCAATCTGAAGAAAATATACGTAAATTATTTGCTGAAGCGGAAAAAGAGTATAAAGCAAAGGCTGAGGATTCTGGGCTTCATATCATCATCTTTGATGAACTAGATGCTATTTGTAAGCAACGTGGAGGCAAGAGTGATGGAACGGGAGTGGGAGATAGTGTTGTAAATCAATTGTTGGCCAAGGTTGGTTTGTAACATAAAATTTTAAATCGCAATATATTAAGTAATGTAAAGCAGGTCTTTATTTATTTTTGATGTTCACTTTACAAATATCCAAACCAACTGGCTCGATTATGTTTATATTAGATGGATGGTGTTGAACAGCTAAATAATATTTTAATCATCGGAATGACTAATCGATTGGATTTGATTGACGAAGCGTTATTGCGTCCAGGTTAATGTTTGAGATTTTAAGCATTTATTTTTTTATAATTAACCGTAATTTTACAAACACTTATAAATTAAGGATTTGTAATTGAACAGGTCGTTTAGAAGTACATATGGAAATCGGTCTTCCTGACGAGAATGGTAGACTTCAAATATTGAATATTCATACATCTAAGGTGCCTATAAAGTTTATCATTGATTATTCATAATGATCTAACAAGTTTAATTTGTTTATCCTTTTTAAAATTCTTTTTATGAAATAGATGAGACAAAACGACATCATGGATTCCGATGTTGATTTAGAAGAACTTGCTAGTTTGACAAAGAATTTTAGTGGTGCTGAAATTAATGGGCTTGTTAAAAGTGCCAGTTCATTTGCATTTAATCGACACGTTAAAGTAGGAACACTTGCTGGCGTAACACCAGATATGGAAAATATGAAAGTCAATAGAAATGATTTTTTAGCGGCATTAGACGAAGTACATCCCGCGTTTGGGGTCAGTGACGAAGAATTACAACAATGTGTACATAACGAGATTATCAAGTTTTCTTCTAATATTGAGGTAAAGTCAGATAAATTTCTATATTAAATTAATTATGAAATTTATTTTTATTCGTTAATTTTTAGAGAATATTATCAGATGGACAACTTTACATTGACCAAGTTAGAAAAAGTTCTAGAACTCCACTTGTCAGTGTGCTTTTGCATGGTACCGTGATTTACATTATATGAAATAGAAAATTTTCATTTTATTTTATTTTTGAATATTCTTATCATTTCTTTTATTTTTTAAGGGCCTCCGGGTTGTGGTAAAACGGCTTTGGCAGCTACTATGGCGATGTCATCCGAATTTCCGTTTATTAAATTAATCTCACCGGAAAGTATGGTGGGATACTCGGAGTCAGCTAAGATGAACGCAATTAATAAAGTATTAAGAATTAGAAAGTTTTTTATTTTCTAGCTTGTTCAAAGTGTTCATATATTAAGTGTACGACATGCTTTTAACTATGATTTTAGGTATTCAATGATTCGTACAAATCACCCTTAAGTGTTATCGTTATAGATAATATTGAGCGACTTCTTGGTATTTATGATTTAAAAATCTTTATTTAATAACTTAACATTAATGTTTACGGCTATTTTTTCGTTAGACTGGGTTCCAATTGGACCTAGATTCTCAAATTCTGTTTTGCAAACGTTATTGGTTTTGCTTAAAAAAAGACCACCTAAAGTAATTATCATATCATTTCTCGTGAGAAATTTCATGTGAACTCGTTATTTAATTAATTATTATTTTTGAAAATTATAAGGAACGTCGTCTTTTAATATTTGCGACGACAAATGAAAGATCGGTACTTGAGCAAATGAATATGTCCGATTGTTTTAATTCGGAGATTTATGTTCCAAATATCGTAGAGTTATCTTTCGTGGACTTCGTACTTGAAGAGTTAGCTTTATTTAATGATGATGAGAGAAATCGAGCTTTAGGTGCATTGCAACAAGATGGTTTCAATTTAAATATTGGAATTAAAAAGCTTTTGATGATAATTGAGATGAGTCGGCAAGATGTTGATAAAGTTGACAAATTTGTTAGTACTATTATGGGATTGTAATTTTAAATTTTATTTGTTAAATGATATTATACTTTTAAATAAAATTATGCAGTCAATGTTATAATTAAATAAAATTATCATTAGGTCACATACTCAAATTTTTAGGTTTTTCAAATTATATGTTGTTATAATTAATCATCATAACTTTCGAAAGTTGTTGGAAATGAAAGTTTCTTTGATAAAGGAGGATACTGATTCTGATGGAGGGCTTTACTTCTTTCATAAATAAATCAAGGAAACGTTTTATTTTACCTGTTTTTATGCTACTAATCAATCCTTATCTACCCGAAATTAACAAGTTTGTTGCCTGTATTTATTTAGCTAATGTTTATGAAGAAACGCTTGGAAATTATGCATACGAATTGCTTTCCATATCTTGAAGATATCAAATTAGTTCATAATTTTATTTCCTATATTTAGACTTTATATAAAAATTATATATAGATATATATATTTTTTAAGATTAAGCTTTTATAAAGAATTTATAAATACATTGAAACATTATTTGCCAATAGTTAATAAGAAAATTATCTGATTATTATTACAAATTGATCTGAAGAATATATTGTATATTATCATCCATTTAGTAATTACAATCCATTCTTTATATTTTTGAGCTGATTTTTGCAAAAATTATATCAACATTCCAATTGAATAAGAATAACCATCCTATATTTTTAAGAAACAATGTATCATCATTCCAAAAATGATTATTTTTTATCATTCTAAAAGAATAATTTCTTTTATTATTCTTAAAGAACAATTTATTATTATTTTAAAAGAACAATTATTTTTTATTATTCTTTTAGAATAATACATTATCATTTTTTAGAATAATTTTTTATTATTCTTAAGATTTAATATATAATTATTTCAAAAAACAATTTTTTTTATTGTTCTTAAGAAATGATTCATTATCATTTCAAAAAAAACGATTTTTTTTATCATTCTTAAGAAACAATATGCAGGTTACAGATCAGATCAGACCAACCTATTTGACCTGTTATTTAGATCAGATTTATAAGTTTATCCATCTTAACCTGATCTGTTCAGAACTTTAGTTAGATGATATATCAGATATATCAAATTATCATCATCTGTATCATATATATTATATCATATATTGCATAATATATCATATAATTTTTATCTATTTCCAATAAAAAAATTTATAAATTATTTACACAAGTCAAATGCTGATCAATCGGGTACCTTCCTGATTGGTCACTATTTTTTGATCAGTAATTAATAGATAGAAATCAGTAGATACTACAATAGAATATGAATCGGTTAATACCAAAATCATAATTATTAGGTAGAATTACATAAATTTGTTTCTAACCCAATTTTATACTTATTTTAAAAAATTTATAACTATATGTTAAATAGTAACAAATCAGATTCAACAAAAAACTCTTTCTGCTGATCCGCCCGACCATGCCTCAGCAACGAAAAACACCAAAATGTTTTAACAATAACCCGAGCAAAAAAGCTCAACGCGGCCGTTCTGGCTCGCCTACAAACGAAAGAGCAACTAAGAAA